TAGCATCAGAGTCAACACATAGACCACAGACCTCCAATAAGGAAACTGAATGCTCACATAGTAGTGTTACAACATCTGATAAGCTGATGTTCATGCAGGTGCATATGTGTGCAAATTCACAAAGTACAAAGTCATTAGGTTCCCCAGGGTTTGAAAACTGGGCATACAATGGTTTCTTCTGGCTCTACAAAAAAACATCTGCTTGCCATCACCAAATACTATCTTCTGGGTAATGAAAGAGTAGAAGAAACTGGAAACAGTCAATACCTAAACAGTAGCAGCTTGTTGACTGTCTCATTGTTTATCAGTTAGATTTCAAGGACATTTCGATCTTGTGACTGAAAATACTCCATATATGGAACACACTGACAATCATGCAAGATTGCAATAATAATACCAAACTATATATAAAGATCAATATAAGCCCTTGAGGAATTTTGCAAAATTGCCAGACTGGTCAGTTCATATAAAACCAATTTGCTTAACATTTGCCTATATGAATAAGTCCACTATAATTCATCACCTTTTGAATTTTGCATGTATTTGCCCTAAAAATAAAATTAAAAAAAATAATAATAATAAAATCAGAAACTGAAGAAAAGCGTTCACTGTGAACATTTGGTAAATGGGTTGCATTTTGGTATGTAGGCCAAGGTCAAGTAGGTTTTTTTTTTTTTTTTCCATATGGGCCAATTCATGAATTTAGTGTTGTTTCCTTTTGTTGATACATATTTTAAATCAGAAAACTCTATACCTTACACCTAATTGTGCATTGTTATTTATTTATTATCATTGAATGGCTGCTTTGGTGGATTATTTTAGAGTATTTGGGGGAGGGAACAGTGACTACACTATCAGAAATACAAACCTTTCAAGAAATTGTTGAATATGGTACCCCCTGCAACACTTTTACATTGTTTTTCCTTGACTGACTTTGTAAACAATTATGTTGTAAACATGGGTTATTTCATGGTTCTTCTTAGCATTATATTCTATAATATATATAGATGGCATCTCATTGCAAATGAGAAATGTCTTAAACACAAAAGTTGAATTTGTCGTCCACTTTACTTT